ATAAGTTGCGAGAGGCTATGACCAACGTTCCAGTGTTAGCATTACCGGACTTCACTCTGCCTTTCGTGGTGGAAACTGATGCTTCAGGGGTTGGATTAGGCGCTGTTCTTTCTCAGCAACAAAGACCTATATCGTACTTCAGCCAAGCCCTCTCCCCCAGAGCTAAACTCAAGTCTATTTATGAAAGGGAACTAATGGCCATAGTTCTATCTATCCAGAAATGGAGACACTATCTACTGGGGAGGCATTTCATAGTTAGGACGGATCAAAAGAGTTTAAAGTTCTTGATGGAACAACGGTTGGTGTGTGTTGAACATCAGAGGTGGGTCACCAAGTTACTAGGCTATGATTTCGAGATACAGTACAGACCGGGCCTTGAGAACAAAGCAGCTGATGCTTTGTCCCGTCTTCCTGTGGCAGCCGAGTTAACTGTTATTTCTGTATCCAAGGTACTCGATTTGGGTGTATTGCAGGCACAAATAGGTGCCGATGAGAGGTTAGCCAGCATTAGGGAGGCTTTGCTCAGGGATCCTCTGTCCATTGATAACTGGTCCATTACAGATGGGTGTCTTCTATATAAACAGCGACTAGTGCTCCCAAAAGGGTCCACTTTGATCCCCAGTTTACTTCAGGAGTTTCATGGCAGTGCGGTTGGTGGCCATTCAGGGACTTTAAAGACTTACAAAAGAATTGCCAAGGAATTTTTTTGGGTAGGGATGAAAAAAAATATTCAGTCTTTTGTAGAGGCATGTTCTGTTTGCCAACAGAACAAATATTTAGCGCTTTCTCCGGCTGGGTTGCTTCAACCTTTGCCGATTCCAGAGGCGATATGGGAGGATTTAACGTTGGATTTTATTGAGGGATTGCCAAAGTCTCGTGGTTGGGATACGATCTTAGTCGTGGTGGATAGACTGAGCAAGTATGCTCATTTTATGACCTTAAAGCATCCGTTTTCGGCTAAGATAGTGGCTGAGTCATTTGTACAAGGAGTGGTGCGGCTTTATGGTTTTCCTAGGTCTTTGGTCTCGGATAGGGACAAAGTTTTCCTCAGCTTGTTTTGGACCGAGCTGTTTCGGCTGCAGGCTACGCAACTCCGACGTAGTACAGCTTACCACCCACAAACTGATGGGCAGTCTGAGGTCGTGAATCGCTGTTTAGAGACTTATTTGCGTTGCTTCGCTAATAGTCACCCTCACACTTGGTCTGATTGGATACCTTGGGCAGAATTTTGGTATAATACCTCATTCCATACATCTACCAAGACTACTCCTTTTAAGGTGGTACATGGGCGGGACCCTCCTCCGGTTGTACGTTATGGAAACCAGCAGACGTCGGTAGCGGAGCTTGATCAGCAGCTGCAGCTTCGCAATGACATGTTGGATGAGTTGAAATTACAGTTGGCCCGGGCTCAATCCAGGATGAAAAAAGTGGCAGATGGTAAACGAAGGGCAGTTCAGTTTGAAGTGGGGGACTTGGTTTATCTAAAAATCCAGCCTTACCGACAGAAATCATTGGCCAAGCGTGTGAATGAGAAGTTGTCTCCTTGATTTTTCGGTCCTTACCCAATTCTCCAGCGGATTGGAGTGGTAGCGTACAGGCTTCAGCTGCCAGATACAGCCACCATCCATCCGGTGTTTCATGTTTCTCAGCTACGTAAGGCAGTGGGTCAGGCGACTCCCACTCAACCTCTCCCACCTCTGCTCAGTTCGGAGTTGGAGTGGACTGTGCAACCAACTTCTGTTTTGGGCACCAGGCCGAGTAATGATCCCGGTACTGAAGGACTGGACGTCCTTATTCAATGGCAGAATC